GTAAGGGATACTGGCAGATTCCACTAGCCGAGGAGGCCATCCCCAAGTCGGCGTTTGTCACCCCGTTTGGCCTCTATCAATTTCGGGTCATGCCTTTCGGGATGAAAAACGCTCCGGCTACCTTTCAGAGGATGGTAGATCGGCTACTGGACGGGTTCCAAGAGTACGCCTGTGCATACTTAGATGATATAGCCATTTATAGCCAGACCTGGGCAGATCATTTGAAACATATTAGTGTGGTCATTGACCGTATTGGAGAGGCAGGGCTGACACTAAAACCTAGCAAGTGTCACATAGGGATGGCAGAGGTGCAGTACCTGGGTCACAGGGTAGGATGCGGACAGCAGAGGCCCGAAACCGGCCAAGATAGAGGCAGTAGCTAAGTGGCCTACCCCAGGACAAAGACACAAGTATTGGCGTTCCTTGGTACCGCTGGTTACTACAGAAAATTTGTGCCCAATTACAGCGCCCTGGCCAAACCCCTGACGGACTTGACCAAGAAAAACTTGCCACGACAGGTCAACTGGGCCCCAGAGTGTGAACAGGCATTCCATGAGCTAAAAACTGCATTAACTAAGGCTCCTGTGTTAACTGCCCCTGATCCAACTAAACGATTTCTTGTTCACACAGACGCTTCCATGTTTGGATTGGGGGCAGTACTGAGCCAAGTGGGAGCTGATGGCGGAGAACATCCCGTAGCTTACTTAAGCAGAAAATTACTACCAAGGGAAGTAGGCTACGCCGCCATCGAGAAGGAATGCCTGGCCGTGGTGTGAGCCCTCAAAAAGTTACAACCTTATTTGTATGGACAACCATTCTCCTTGCTCACAGATCACAACCCGTTGGTGTGGCTACACAGGGTGTCAGGAGACAATGCCCGGCTGTTGCGCTGGAGTTTGGCGTTGCAGCCGTTTGATTTCACGATCCATTATCGCCCTGGAAAACAGAATGGTAACGCCGATGGGTTGTCCAGACAGACAGAACTTGAGAAATGATCTGTGAGCACTCCCCCGGACATCCCCAAGCCGATCCGTTGGGATCAGACTGTGTATGCCGGCTTGGTTTTGGGGAGCATTGTGGCAAACCTAGCCACTTGGGACTGCCTAAGATAGAATGGTTGTGCCTATTTTCTGTTGTGTACTGCGCGCCGGTATAGTGTGGCATCTCCGGCTATGTTTAATTTATGCTGTACTGTGTATGTCTGTTCGAATCCTCCCCATTCGTTAGCATTGCTATTAAAACTGACTAAGTTGTATATTTTGAAGTAGAAAGGTAGCGGTTTATGTCCTCGTAGTTTTCATTACTGTATGTTACAGCAGGGGCTGTTGGGAGGAGGACCTGGAAACGGTAGTCTCCCTCCAGTCCCCTCAACCAAAACCCCTGCTGCCCATCTTTGGAAACCCCTGTTGAGTGACCTGCTTTAAATATCAGTTATTTTTAATAAAGTGACAGTTGAGTGACCTGCTTTAAATATCAGTCTTTTTGAATAAAGTGGCAGTTGACTCTCAGACTGTGTTTCGTCTGGTTCTTGGGAGGATTTGGGAATATTGCCTGCTTCCAGTTTTGTACTTGGTTATTGCATTCTACCAGCAGAGATCCTGGGATTATAAAATTGCAGCTCCGCAACAATCATTGATTAGGGGGAAGGGGAGTAGTACAGAAATACAAGAGTTTGAAACAAAAGAACAGATAGGTATGTGGCTAGGCGGGGACAATAGAGCAGGGGGAGTGCAAATACCAACTATACCAGTTTTTAGCTTGGGAGTAAGAGTGGGGGAAGGGCTACTCTGGCTCTGGAGGATGAATAGGGGGTTGGTAATCAGATGCA